GTGGGAGTACGTAGGCGGAGCCTTCAGTGCTCACGCAATCAAAACGGCGCTCCCCTTGGTTGGTGTCTACCGGCGACCATCGCAGTACAGCCGGTGGTGTAAGGAAAACACCAACAAATCAACGGCGTCAGTCATCGAATTTGCTTGCAAGTGAGAAGCTTTATGACCGCAAAATCACTGGTCTCTTTGGCAATTCCACTAAATGGGGGGTTTCATTCTGTTTGGGAATTGCGTTAGGGAAGAGGAATACACTAACTGTCTCATATGTCCATTTATAATTGTAAAACACTAATCTAAAAGCAGAGTTAGTTTTTTTTAAAAAATAAGGTATCATAATGTTCTTCCTCACCTTGTTGTTCTCACTTCAGTGCTGCCTACCATCACTGTCAGGCTTCAGCCCAGTTAGTAGAGAAGTGGTTAGGTATCGTGTGTTCACTTCACTGACATCTTCATGCAGGCACGGTAGGCAGCTCCGCACCGAACCTTTCCAGATAGTTCGCAGCTAGTGTAGCTTCAGCTGTTAGTAGCTTTCCTGCAGACCACGGAACTGGGGTAGTTGCAGTAGGCAGACGTCATTTTTAGCCCTTCTGTTAAGGGTCGTCACAGATTTCCCATCCGCAGCATATTCACCTCCTCTGTCCAGCTAAATTTTATCATCCAGCAGTAAAAATCAGGATAGATGTCCTTTATGGCCGGGTTTGTTTTCGGCTGCCACCAATGCGTCGCCCCGAGACATCTCTGAAGCCGAATGAAGGCATAATACCTTGGCAAAATGTGTTTTTCGATGACAGAAGGGTTGGGGGCTACTTGTGAAATTGAAACGCAGCGTCCTAAGTGCCGTTTAATTCACCACTTAAAGTCTTGCAATGTATTCTTTGTTTGTTTATGGTAACTGCCAAATGATTCAAATCGTGTTTTGCAAGAAGACTAATCAGGGTTAAGAGGCAATAAAGTAGATGCAGGTTGTTCCTGGTCTGGAGAATACCGTGCTCTCTAGCTTTGAAAAGTGGTCAGGTCACTAAAAGAATTACTGGCAAGTGGCAGAGATACCAGAACGATGCAGTATTTGGGCTGTGGTAATCAATTTCCCCCTGAGACTCGGAAAGAGAAAGCGTCAACTGCGCAATTGACAACGCATGTAGAATTCCGCAGGCATTGCACCTCCCCAAGAACTTCATTTTGAAATTTAAAAACACTGACTCCTAGTAAGTAAGACTTTTGAAAACGAAACTAAGCTTGGATCTACAGGGATTCCTTACAAATTGCGGTTGGTAAAGGGAAACGATTTTACAGTAACACGAAGCAACAAGTATTCTGCTTGTGACTGATTAAATATCCTACTTCTTTTATAAGTTCAGAAAATAGATAGTGGAATATGTTACTTTTAAAATGAAAAATTAGAATTTCTCTAAAGAGAGAAATCCTGAAATGACATAAACAAAGTGTAAACTTATGCAGGAAGTGAAAGAAGTCATTCCCCAAATGTTATAAGTTTATCCTTGGATGAGAAAACAACTTTGCCGCAATCAGCCTATAAATACAATTTTATAAGTAAAAATGCGGGAAATAGGTTGTCTAATTGACCTCCCGACTGCCATGCAACAGGCGATGATCGGGCCCATTATTGAGAGGCTATGGCGTTGCCATCGCAATGGCCTCCATCAAACGAAACCCTTTATCTCCCAGTGGTGGTAGAATGTCACTTGTGCATTTGTTATTTGTTTATTTTCACCCTATAAAATTGGCTCTGGAACAATTTATCTATATGGTACATATCATCTGGACCTGGGGGGAGAAGGGCAAAGGCGGTACTTTTATTGTGGCAACAACTGTTCTTCTTCTCCTCCTCCTCCTCCTCCTCCTCCTCCTCCTCGTCAGCACTGCCACCACCAATCACTTACTGTAATTTTTTCACTACGCTAAACAGCCTCTCAAAAGTGTTTTTTGTTTCTTTAGGTATATTGTAAAAGCCTAAAAAAGCTCACATTTGAGGAAGGGTTTTCTTCGTTGCGAGTGTGGTGGTAGGGTTGCTGCTTTGTTTTTCATCTAAGCTGCATAGACAAAATGCAATATTCTAACAGTTGTGCTTTTTGTTTTTAAGAATCGCTGCCACCTGCAATACTACTTACTATAGTTTTAAGTAGGTCATCGCTTTCCAAAAGTATGGGGAAAATTAAACGCCCTTTTTTAATGGAATAAATACTGAGTAATTTCAATTAACCTCTATTAAGAATCTCTTGTTCATAAATTTTTTCACAGCAAATAAAAGTATGATATGTTACTGCTTAAAAATAATTGCTTTTGGACCGATCTTAAATGGCATAGCTCAGCTGACCAGCCAACTCAAAGTTTGGGCTACCTTTCATCTCTTCTTGCATTAAAAGAAACTATAATCAAAACTGTTGTGCCTGATTTTTATTAGACGTTATTTATCTGCAAAAAGTGGTAATATCCCGGCTTGTTGAAAACGGGGAGATGAATTATGGCCTCGCTAGTACGACTTCCCACGGTAATGGCTAACGCAGGAGGTAATTTCATGAGAACATTAAAAGAGGCGTCTTTTGTACAAAAGGATTTTTATTTTACCCAAAATGCCCACCAAACACGAGACTTTGCCCATTGGCGAGACATTTACTGAGGTTCTTGGGTTAAAGCTGTCGAATCATACAAATTCGCTTCTACCTACTTCGAAAAAGTGTGAATGTGTTTAAAAGCTTCTACCATGATAAGCTGGAAATAGAAAGGAATGGTAATTACCAAAGTTATCTGTTTAACTCTGTGAAGCCCTCAGTCGCCGCGGTCTCATATACCATCTTAAAGTTATAGGGTTTTATCCTTGTCGTTTTCAGTAACTTGCCACCGGCCTTTCCGTACGTGCCTAATGAAGTCTTGTCTTGAAGAGGAGTGGGGTGCTTCATTACCTCATATGATAGTGAGTGGGTGGAGGAACTCATTTTGTGGATGGGCAGAGGCTATAACTTACTTCCTAAAAGGTCTGAATTTTTAAGGAATTCCCCAAAAAAATAGAACTTGACCTCTCTGAAATCAAACCTACAACTGACTTGTCATAACTACCCACCAATTTCGGTTGCATGATATCGGGGAGAAAGATTTCTAGGCATACTTCCCACCTCCAGCAGAAATTAAATCCCCATGATTATCCCTATTTCAGACTGCTAAATTTTAAATTCTCCAAATCAGAATCACATTTAAGCACTAGGGGATCGAAAGCGATAATGTCAGGTAAAGTAGTATTTTTTTCCCTTGTTTTTATTTTCGCTTTTTTAATGTCACATTCAAGTTTAGTTACTTCCCTTAGCTGGATATTAATACAGCCTGAACACACCATGTAAATATCACATCGAAATCAAACTAAATTTGGAATTTGAGGTAAAGTAGATAGTAGATAGTGCAAAAAAAATCCTAACAAGCTTCACAAATTTGTATTTGTAAAGTGCTTAGGGATTCCAAATCGCTTTTGGCAACTTGACGGGATAATTGCCGAAACTAGCCAGGGGGCACTTGTTAAAATGAATTCCTCTAGACTGCGAATACTTCACCAATCTGTGTCGGTCTCATTTGAATTAGGTTTAGCACCGACTAAAGGACAAGAGCTTGCAATTACAGCGGAGGATAACGACTTTGGAAAGCCATTCATTGTTGTGGTATCGTATCGTGCCCAAGAAGCACCCTCTCTGACATCCCTACTGGCGCTTTCGCATGTAAAGGTAGATTACTAACGTGCCAAACTTGTACACTTTAAAAAATTGTTCTGGAATGACACATCGAAAGGGCCTAAAAAACCAAGGCGCCAGACACGTGGGTGTCAAGATTGGTTTATCTTTCAAGTGGAATTGCCTTGACCTTCCAGAAGTGTACAATGCATCTTTTACACTGTTTTGTCTCAAAATTGCGGTTAGTCACTTGATTTATAATGTTTCCTACCTCCAAGTTCACGCGGTTTTTGATGAGGCAGGCCATTTGTAAGGTCATCACTGTGCCCCAGTAAACATAGCAGTCACCGGCTTTGGGGCAGACAAGTGTTGTTCGCACAGGTAGTTGAAAACCACTGGAACTGTGTTCTATGGTACGCAAAGCCGATGAAATATATTTGGGCGCCTATTTATGGAAATTGGAAGCAATGTTGGCAAATAGTCGATTTAAGATCTTCAGTCTATGGAGTTTCGGCCACCGTCTCAGTGTCAGAATGTTAAACCTTCTCTCACATCACTATGCCTCCGTGCGCCTTCAAAGACGACTCGAACATTGCAGCAGTGACATAGTGATATCGAAATAAACCCTAGATAGTTTACGTTGTGGTAGCTGACGCGGGAAGTTGACCAAGGGGAGCGCTCAAAAGAGGAGAGGGGTTATGTAATACAATGGTTGTTTAACTTTCGGTTATGGTAAAGAGCCACTTTAAGTTTGGCAAAAATAATATTTATTGTTAAAGCCTGGGTTGGCTAATTTTACAGTCTTTATCAGAATGCTAGAAATATATCCTTGTTAGTTGGGCCAGGCACATAAGGACTAATGCTAGGATTGAGGTTTTACTAGGATGTTATTCATTTCAAAGATTGTGTGCATGAGTAACTATAAATTATAGAAGAAAATAATCAAGTGGTCTAATAGAGGACGGAAAAATTGCTGCTCCTAAATATCTTAAAACACTCCGTTGCAAGTATCAGTTGTTTACTTTGAAGCGTGTCTATGAAATTTGAGATTACACAACATTCTAGAGCTAATTAAAGTTAGGAGTAAAAAAATACATTTTGTACCTCAAATGATTTTAAATTTTGCAACCAAGTTAAAAACACCTCATTTGGAGAACTCGAAACCAATTGAAAGTGTGTATGCAAATTGGCTTATTTTTGATTCTCAAGGTCGTAGGCGGCTCCTACGGAATTATCGCCCTGTTCTTCATTAGGTTGAAAGATGGTTTGTTCCATGTGATACTTGTTGATGAATTTTAGGAGTACAAATTTTTTTTTGGTGACTTTATGGACTTTGCGAGAGGGTCCATCACACAGGCCAATAAATACCTTCGAAGATATGAACCACTTGAAATTGTTTTGCAAACACTCTTTGCTATCGTGTCTGTATTCTTGACGATACGAGCCTTCAATGCGCTTTCTGGAGGTTTTCAAGTCAAGACTTTTGTGTTCAAATTTGTCACAAGTCTCCCATATCTGCGTGAAATCAAAAAGAAAAAGCTTCAAGAGGCTAAAAAGGACATTTTCAAAACTGTTCATGGCAAACTGTGCAAACTCGGCTACCGAACTTGTTTGCCCTCGATGTCTAGCTCAGTCGTAAATTTGGAAGTGCTGTATATTCCTGCGTTTAGAGTGAAGTTCTTAAGGTAGCAAGCTCCTACCACTCAAGCTCTGCTGTGTCTTGGAAGGATGGCCGAATGTCAGGTGCTGTTTACCCTTCAAACAGTGGATTGAATGAGCTACTAATCGAGGTGAGATTCCGAAATTACATAAAATTGTTTTCTTGCGCAAATTAAACATGAACTTCCTTGATGTATCTAGTCGAAGATACTTGTTGGTCTTGATGCTATCTCAAATCCGGGTCTGGGAGAGGCCATGAAGCAAGAAGACAGAGTCATTTCTTTTGGTGTTTTGAAGCTTCTTTCCCTTTTATATAACAAGTTTTATCCTCTAGTCAAGGTGATTTCCTAATACAATAGAGTCGTCTTGAAAATTTGGGTTTACATTTACTAAGCGACAGAAGCGTTTTATTTCAGATTCAAAAGATGACGCTCTGGTCCAACCCTTTGCATGTGGACGCCTTTCCAGCTGTTCGTCGGATGGAAGCGGAGGTAGTTCGAATGTGCCTTACCATGTTTAATGGGGATTCTGAAAGCTGCGGCACCGTAAGTTTCCACCTTCAAAAATTGTCTAATTGTGGTACTGAAATCGCGTTTCCCAGCGGAAAACAGAATTTTTATGCACTTCATCACTTCTGGATGTGTCCATATAACGTCTGGGCCCTTTCAATGTTTATTGCAATGACTTTCTGTTCATGTGATCCTGTTTATGTCATAATTTCATGCTGATTCTGGAACTATTGACAAATTTGGTGTTTGGTTGCATAATCAGCCTTCTTAAAGCTTCATACATCCGGCTTGAAGATCCGTTCTAATTTTTTCAAGCTATCTGAAAATAGTTTTGCCCGTTTCTGATTATTTATTTTCCTGACTCATGCAATGGCTGGGGGAAATTTTTCGTAGGCTTACCACTTAGATTTATGCAAGGCGACCTTATTAGTTTTGTTTGAATTCCGAAAACAAATGCTCGAAGTCAAATCAAACCTCAGAGCTTGTGTCTGTTAATATGATGCAGTGGAATTTACTGAGCATCAAAATAAACAGTCAGATTGGATGCTTACAGTTTGGAAACAAAACTAGTTACGGTCATTACACATGACACCCCCTATTCAAACGATTTTTTAGAGTTTGCTTCAGCTTACTCCTTTCCTACCTCCTGCTCCAAGGTTGGCAATTTTTGGCAGTCTTGTTTCTCAAACTTCAGATGACTTCTGGTGGGACAGAAAGTATAATGTTGGCGTGCCTGGCCTATCGCAATCGCGCCTACAAACTTGGCATCAAGGAGCCTGAAGTGTAGGTGTTTTGTAACTACTATCCCTTTGATCACTGGGACGTGGGAGGAAGCGAGAGACTGACCGATTGGGTGTTTGAGTAGAGTCACATGCCACTGTCATAGGAGGTAAATCGCGAGAGCCTGATGAGGTCCGTTTAATCATGTACATAATTGGAAGAAATGTCATCGGTTTGCTATTCCCTCCAACTCCAACGCTGTGTGAAATCCCATGTCACCTTTTACACCTAATTTCTCAATTTAAAACCAAAAATCGTAGTATTTGCAAAGTTATTTCAAGTCTTTCACGAATTAGCTATTCTAATTTACAAAATAACTATCATTATATGTAAGTACATGGCTTGAGTAGCTAAACACATAATCAGTGGAACTTTTGGAACGCACTTTTCTGAATATTGCTGATCAACCAAATTGAGTGGGTTGTAGAAAACAAAAATAAGTTGTAAGATGCAGCTCATATTTTCCTGTAGGATTAAGCACTCGTAGCAATTTCGGGTCCGCAGATTTGGTTGCCAAGGTACTGCATTGGCCTTGTTGGCATAGCAGCATTTAAATTCGACGACGAATGTCGTAAATTTTCCCCCTTGTCAGCATCCCAAGTTGGGATGTTAGGAATTGACACGATTTGACACCACTAGTGGTGTGCTGGGGGAGAGGTGGAAAGTGACTGAACTCCAGAATAGCAGCAATAGCTTTTATGCATAATTCTATACAGGTGATATGTATCCCCACATTCACTCTACTATTCATCGCTTTGCCAATCTTTTTTTACAGGGTCATTCCTATCTCGGCTCATGCTGCTTTCGATAAGGTAATATATCTTGTTCCAACTTTATCCCTTTATAACCATCATTCATTGTGAAATCGGAGTTGGATTTTAGCCTTAATAACCCGTCTGCGGCCTGAATAAGTTCAGTTATCTTCAGGTTTTCAAATAAGGTTTATCGGCCTCACGATCACCATGAATGCCACTTTACTGTCCCGTTGTTTCTTGATAAAGGGATGATACTATCCAAAGAATAGTTCCAGTTTCTGTGATTATTTATCTCAATTTTTGAAGGACATTTATGAGGGTGTGTCCAATAAGTTGACAGTGTGAATAGCTAACGAGTTTTTCGAAGTTCCTTCCGTTGCAAATGGTTTTCTTAGTCTTAGGATCGAGGCATTCATCTAGGCGAGCTGAGCCGAGACCGGGGCTACGAATAATCCCGTAATCAAAGCAACTGTGATGAAAGCGGGTACTTCTCAAACAACACGTGAATCTTGGTCATACCATTTGTAAAAATTTAGCAGGATCGTTGATTGATACTAAACTATTTAAATACGTGACTTGGTTCAAGTATGGCTGGTTTCGAAACACAGCTTATCTTCTCTTCGAATTTGTATCATATTTGTTAAGCGGTCTTTGTTTTGCAGGCTGGCAGCATGATGAATATCCGCGTGAAGAAGGTTCCTCTGGACCCGAAAACATTTAAGGTCGACTTGAGAGCTATGAAACGTGCCATTACACGAAGGACCTGCATGGTGAGTCTTCCCTCATCTGTTTGCCAATCCATTTGATGACATCTGCGTTTATTATGGTACACGTCAATAAGGTGGCATGTTTTTCACTTTTGGATGTAGTTTGAAGTCTGTTGTTGACAGGCAGTTGTGGATAGGTTGTTTACCATTCCGGAAAATAGACTGAACGTTTACCATAATTTTCATATTTGTCAAACTTGTCAGTACCTTCACTCCTACTTCCTTTGTATTTTTAGTAAGGTTTAATTGCATCAAAATGTTTCCCTATATTTTTTTACCTTCTTAACGCATTCGCTACCAGCGTCACGTATATGTGATGCCCAAATTCTCTTGTCTGAACTTAGTGTGACTATCATTATCTGTTACACTAAATCGTGAAATGGAAGCAGATTGGTTGGTTTTAACCGAATGAAATAGATTTATCAGGATATTTTCCTGCATTTTAGTTTTTGGGTAGTAGGTTTGTTGGGTAAAATTAACGACGATTGGTGCCATGGCATCAGAATAGCAATGTGTATGGTGACTGTAGTGGTGGATTTTCCTCCAAGACCCTGACCGCGAACACGTCAACAATGGTGGCTTTTGGTGACCCCATTTAAGTAGTGCTCATTGATGTATCATTCCCACATTCCTTTCACTGTCTTTTACTTTTACTGATTTCATCTGTTTATCGTGTAGCCTTTCATTTTGACAGAAATCAGTCACCTCAGCTGAAGACTTTAAGTAGTCTCACAGAGTATCTGTACTTATTCCGTTAGAGAAGTGATTAGCTTAGAGGTCTTTGGTTTATTCACGCCATTTGAAATGTGAAATTTGAATCAATAAGATGGCAGAAGCCTTATGTGATTCCGTTGCGTGTATCTAAACACGCAACGCTTGGCGTTTTTGCGGTGCTGTCTGGCACAAACCCCATATAAACTTCTCAATAAGCCTACATTCAACTTCCGCTATGCCTAGAGGGTAAATTTCAAACACGGAAGCGTCCTAAGGACTATTATTAGTGATTGCCATTTTTAGCCTGTTTCATTTATTTTGTCAGGGTTTTGGATTTAAATAAAGCGTATGCCAGAAATTATGCGACGAAGCAAAACCTCCAGTTAATGAACCCACATCATATCAGCTAGAGGGGGCTCCATTCCACCTTGTCACATCTCCATCTTTTTTTCCGTTTTCAAGACTAAGATTGTTCCCTCTAAATGCCTGTAGAATGCTCCGCTGTTATATCTTTGTCCATTTTCATAGTGAAACTTCGCTAAGTAATTTGTGACAGGAGCTTAGGCGTTAAATTTGGTAGTGAGCTGCCACTGATCTGTCCGTTGAATGCCCAGGACCCTCTTTTGTACATACTTGTCAAAGTTTAACTGAATTTCTCGAATTATTATTTTTAGCTCGTTGGATCTGCTCCTCAATATCCACAAGGAATTATCGACGATATCAAGAGTATAGCTAAGGTGTGTGTATATGTCTGCCCTTTCATTATCTTTCATCACACTTGTATCCCGATCAGCTATGTACTGAGGAATTTTTAGAGAGCATTGCAAATTATTTGCGACGCTTTTTATCATTCTTTAACTTCTTTGGGCAAAAATGTGACTAGGTTTTGCCCTGCATTGAAGAGCACCGTGTTTTCCGGAGTGGATTACTTACAGGTGTCACAGGAATATCCCAGTAGCGGATAACAATAGCACCCTTTTATGACTGGATATTAAGTGTATTGCTAACGCATTTGACTGGCTTGAACTATATGCCTGGTTAAAAGGCCTTTCATTTGAACCATTAGATATACCATATCAAATGGCGAACCCGCCGAAAAAGTGCAACTGGAATCATTTTAAAGCATTTCAGGTGAAGACGTTGATGTGCTTTCATATGCTTCCACGAAGCTCGAGAATGTCCGAGATTACATAAATTGTCAAAATGTATCCCTAAGAAAGTCGGACGCTTGATACTTAATGACCTCTTAGCACTTGACTTACTCCTGAAAGGAGTTTGGGAACTGATAGCATGAATAACTTTTTCGAGGATTCCAGCCCTCCACCACGGGAGCAAAGCGCGAAGGGCTGAAAAAACCCATGCAGAAACACGGTTAAAACAGGCGTCGTTCTGTTGTAGTAGTTGAGATTACTGACGCTTGGGTTTTATTTTCAGTTGGGCGCTTTACGAGGTATTCCGGTGCACGTGGATTGTTGTCTGGGCGGCTTTCTGGTGCCCTTTATGGAGGAGGCCGGGTTCCCTCTTGACCTCTTCGATTTCCGTCTACCCGGTGTTACCAGCATCTCCTGCGATACTCACAAGGTGAGGTGATGCATCTTTATTCACCCACTCATCTACCTTTCCGTCGGTACAGATACTAATCTGTCTTTATAATCACTCTACTATCAAGTACTACGGTTACGCAACCGCACTGGTTAATCGTTTGGTCGGGCGCTCGAGGTAAACATACAAGACCCACAATCTATCTCGTTTCAAAGTCATTTGGTTTAGGAAATTGGGAAAACGTCCAAAAATGCTACTTGCTGATAGCTTCAGGCGTGGTACTATGATAATTGGAAAAATCTTCACCATTTTCCTCGAGTTTCTACCAACTTTGAGGAAGTATTTTCTCAGTCATTTGGAGAGCTTTTTGGGGTAAATTGATTAATGATACACTTTACCGTGATCGAGGGGTTTGCTGGGGAAACTTGCTACCCCTAAAAACGTTCCTATCCTAATTTCTAGGAGCCGCTACTGGTACCGATTCTCCGAACCTTCCGAAGTCATGCTTTTGTTCCTGATTGGCTCACACAAAGCAGAGATGTACTGATAATCAGTTGAAGGTCAAGGTCAATTGGTCGCTACAATTATGTGTAGCTGAATTTACTGAGGCACGCAAGCTCACGCTCAGGCAGTGCCTGATCTTTAGAGCCACAGAGCAGTACGCACTGATTGTAACGCCATCTTTTACTCGTTGCATCGGTGATGGGGAAATCTGTCCCAAAGTCTTTAGCTTTTAGCTGGTTAGGGGCTCGATGGGGTCCATGCCACTGGCACATGAAAACAGAAGCCGTAGTTATAAAATTGGCGTCACAGGTTATAACGAGGTTCAATAAATAAGAAGATTCCAGTGAAAAGTTGAGATGCCTTCTATCGGCTGCAAAACATTCAATATCTTTGAGTTCTTAAGGCATTGCTATTTTTTAATCGCGTAGTGACAACTGTGGTCTTAGCATATTCAAATGACGATTAAACGACAGTCAAGACCACATCTATCTGTAACTTTCTGCAACAGTCGGTAATTTAACAATCTGACATTACTTTGGTCCTATTCATCCCGGCGAATGCATTCATAGTTGTGCTGGTCTTTTTTGCCACCTTTTAGTACGGATTCGCAGCAAAGGGCTCCTCTGTGATAATGTACCGCAACAGGGCGCTTCGAGCGAACCAATTCTTTCTTCTCCCTGACTGGTCGGGTGGAATTTACGCATCTCCGACTTTTGCCGGTTCGTTGATTTATGCCTTCATGGCATTGCGCAGTTTGGATGATCGCACTGAAGTGTTGAGCTCATTGATACTTTGTCCTGTGGGCTATAGCAATGCATTTTGCTCATTCTTAAAGGCAAGTTGTATTGAAATTCAACAAAGTAGTTTATTAGCCTCCTAAGGATTTAAGTCTGCAATTTTCATGACACTCAAGGTCGACTTCTTGTCCCATCGCCAACTTTTCGGTCTACTGCAGGGTGCAAGGTGTGGTAGGGGATTTCTTCACTCAAAAATGACCACTCCAGGCATCGCAGTTTTGCAAATTCACAGATCCACGAAATTTTCGTTGAAGCCTAACTAGCTTCCACTCACGTCTCCATGTACTTTCATTAACACTTCACGTTCACTTTACTTTAATGGGATGCACTTTCGTTATATGACTTTTGTGACATGAAGTTTGCCTAGTTTACCCTCCTGGCAATGGCAAAGAAGCGTTAGTTTACAGTTTCCTCTGTTTTTAGGTTTGTCTTTATCGTCACTTCAAAAAAAGACCGGAGCCACTGAAGTTGTATACTGCACTGTAAAAGTGCTGGTGTGGCAAATGGCCATCAGGCAACACTGCACTCTATTTTTCCATCAACCGTAGAATTAAAATGCTTTGGCAGCATAATTAGGATCATTTTGAGGAATTCACTTCTAGAACCAAGCATTTATTAGCATTTTTAGCGACCTGCACCAAGCATTAGCAATTCCTTCTGCTCAGAGGCGGGTTGTGGAGCCTGGTTTCGCGATTGTTAAAACTATTATTATAACTAGAGAAAATTTATCCCTGTGTGTAGTAGAAAGGGGCTGCTTACTGAAGTTTTGATGGATCGAGCACACCCAATTCCGATGACGTTCCTAGTCTCGTGAAAAAGCCAACCTGGGAAAGTGAGGATGAGTATCTACCACCTGACCCCATTGACCAACTTCCAAGTCTCAATCTTGTATTAATAAGCCGACCCTCGTAAAATTTTCTACTCGGTATAATTTGACGAGGCTAAATTGACATGGACTCATTTGAATGGTCATCAACCATTGTACCAAAGACGAAAATAGCCAGATAGGTAAACTTGTGCCCCTTCCATGTAAAAACAGGCTTGGAATGACTCCTGCCTCTCTTTTAGACTCCAACAGTTTTCCTTTAACCAACCAATCACTTCTTGATGGGCTTTGGCCTTACGTTTCGCATTGCTATTATGCTGAAAGCTTTACACATCTTCACCGGCTTCACAAGGGAACCTTTTACTGGAGGTTTTTTTTCGATCCTATTTGCACTTCTCTTATCTCCCTCGTAGGAAGTCGTTCGGGCGCTCTTATCGCAGCCTGTTGGTCGGCGCTGATGTACTTCGGTCGAGAGGGCTATGTGAACTCCACTAAACGCATCATCTCCACTGCCCGCACTATCGCCAAGGGGTAACTACTTCACTACCTCTCTATCTCCCTTTAGCTAATGAAGTTGGGAAAAATTTAGCAGTCATAGAATTTGACAACTGTAGAACAGAAAGCAGTTCTTTTGCAGGATAAGTTGAGGCCAGCGGACAACTCCCACTCTTCTTCTCAATTTCTCTCCTCTTTTTCAGTTATGAAATTGGGTTGACTTGGTGTTGGATAGGTGTGCCGTCATTTGGGTAGACAGGAGGCAATTTCCATGATAAACGTGGAGATTATTAGATATATGATAGGTGATTTCAAATTGCTATTTTTGCCGTCGTCAGTGCTAATGTGAATCAGTCCATCAATCTAGTGTTAGTTGGCAGTGAAAAGGTATGATTGTTGAACGGGTGGAAGATTAGTTAAGGAAGTCCAGATGTTATGGTCGTCGATTATTGCAAGCTTGATCTGGGGCATTAGATGAACGAGCTTCCAAGCAAAACTCTCTTATATAGTCCAGTCTCAACTGATTCATTCTTGGCCGGATTACATAACATTAAGTTGGGGAAATTGTGAGAAGTCGATGTTACTTTTATAGCCCCTGCAGATTCAGCCATTAACAGTAGATCCCTTTCTTCTATCGCATTTTGATATGGTACTTGGCAAAATAAATTGAAGTTAGCTTTGGGGTGGACTTGCCGATTTCTACTGCCATTGTAGCACCAGCGTAATGAGGTATTCTGGTTGTGCAGGCGGACTGAAAGTCTAGTAATACGAGTGTGTGAGTTGAAGCCTAGGGGATCAGAAAAGTTGGTATAATTAAGTACGCAATTACAGCAATAACTTTGTGCGATGGCGTCTGGTAGATTTGTCATAACGGTAGAATGTCTGTCTCATCTACTTAGATGAGGTGGGGAGGCTTTCAGCTAACCAACCATCGAAATTGTCTAGTTGATTGAAGCTGATTCCCCCCCAATGTGGTGTTTGTGTGCTTCAATCATAACGAATAAACTAGCTAAACAATGGGGTTTTTATAAGAGAAGGTCAATAGTGTAAAAATCTACTACCGATACAAGCCAACTGACGATCTTTTCCCTTTAGCGTGTCATCAATCCCCGGGCTGCGAGTGTTGGGCGAACCACAGGTAAGTGTGGTTGCCTTCACCTCGGACGCCTTCGATATCTACCAACTAGCGGAGTTGATGTCGCACCATCCGGACGGCTCGGCCAATTGGAGTCTCAGTGTGCTCCAGTACCCTCCCGCGGTGCACCTCTGTGTCACCGACCTGCACACCCAGCCGGGTGTCGCGCAACTTTTTCTTGACGACCTCAAAGTGGCGGCTGAGCGCTTGCTTAACTCGCCCAAGAGCGAATCTACTGGCACGGTTAGTTCTTTTGCTTTTCTTCAATTGATCCAGCATGCCCAAGGTTCCTGTTGTAGTGGTGTCTGATGGCGCTTGCTGTGGGATCAAGAAGTGTCTTAGCGTGTTTTGAGGATTTTGAGTCCTTTCACTGGTGTTTGTGTTGACCTATGTAGGCGGCAATCTACGGGATGTGTGCACAGATTCCCGATCGTTCGCTGGTCGCCTCCGTGGTGGCGAGTTTTCTTGACGCCTGCTACGCAACCGAGGGGCCTGATGACTAGAAGTCCATGTTGACAACTTTCTCTCCTTCCTCCTTCGAAGTGATTTTGTCCATTTGTTTTAATTAACTTGTCAAATGTATTAACTTGCCGAACTGCTTATTAAAAGAACATTTTTCGTATTTTCATTGTTTATTGGAATTGATGTTGAATTACCATTGGTGGTAGAAATCAGTAAGTCAGTTTTTTTCCTGCCTTTGCTTTTAAACTTACCAAAGTTAGTCGCGTTTCATGCCTCCGTTCCTGAATTGTCATCTTCAGAGAATGTGATTATACTGAACTGGCAGACAATCACTGTCAATCTTGCCCGGTTTCATGGTTACCTAGTAGGTGATTTGTGCATGAGATATCTAATTCAAATAAGTCCACACTGGGCAATCTCTGGTCTAAACACCTCTGTGGGTCGGATAGATCTGTTATCTTGCACTTTTCCTCAGTTTACATTAAACTTGATGATATTTGGTGAAATGGTACTCTTTACGTTTTCACTAGCTATACGAGGCAGTGAGTTGTACGTGATTCCTACTGTCACATGTCAGTCGAGGTGATAGTTTGTTGCCTGCTCTTGAGTTTGTATCACTGCGCCAGAGGTAAATCACACCAAGATTTTTGTGAAGTTGCGATACGCATCAAGGCAAATCTGCACAAGTGGAATGCGAGTAGTTGTTTGGGTAAATTTGCAAATTGATTTTTGCAAGAAGAATTTAGCCATAAGTAATCACGTATGTGTCCTGTCAGCAAATAATAGTGAAGATAGAGGTGCTTCTTTGCGTTTACAAAACGCTGAATCAGCAAAATTGATAAGATATTCTCTGAAGACCACCGAAGCAAAGATTGCGGTATTCACTATAGCGGAAAACGGACTACATAAGGAAAGACGAGGTGTAATCAGAGGTACCATATTCACAGATGCAGTTATCCTTTGGGATTGGGTTCGTTTTCCGCCGCCACCGATGTAGTGCCCCGAGTCTTCCCCGAAGTCGAAGGACTAGAGGTCTAGAGGCCATTCATTGTACTATTATTATGTCTACTATCGTCTTCAGAGAAGTCTGGGGGCGCTACATCGGTGGTAGCGGCAAGTGTATCCTATTTCAAAGGACAACTACCTTAATTTATACTGCTGGATGATAAACCTTAATGGGACGGGAAAGTGTGCACGCTGTGGATGAGAGAATCTGCGACGATCTCGTGCAGAAGGGTTGGTAATCACGTCAACATTCGGCAGCTACCCTAGTCCCGTGATCTACAGTAATGCTACTAACAGCAAGCGACACCAGCTATGAACCACCTAGAAGTGTTTCATTACAAAGCTGCTTACCTTATCCGTATCAAGATATCGAATATATGAAAACGTGATACCTCCTCTACTTCTCTACTAGCTGAATGGAGGCCAGATAGTAATGGTGGGCAGCACTGAGGCGAGGACAACGTGGTAATAAGAAATCAAAGCGAAGCCCTGCACCACGGAATCTTCAAAAATCTCGTTTTGTTGCATGACTCTGCATCTAGACCAGCTGTAGACACGTGTGATGGTCAATAAATTTCCCTCTCCCGGATGCATTTTCCACACAGGACGAAGCTCCAGATCTAGTAGAAATGCCAAGGGGAATCAGTGACGTTGCGGTGAAGAATCCCCCAGACGCATGGAAATTCGATCGTTGGCACAATTGAGTCGTGGACGCTTTTCTGCAAAACCAACTGTGTTGAGATAGCTGACGAGGAAAGTTGACCAAGGAGAACGCAGGGGTGATGCTCAAAAAGAGGAAAATGACTAACATGCTAGCTGTTTAACCCTCCGTTTTGGCAAAGAGACACCGTGTCTCTGCCATTGTGCCTTTGCCGAATGGGATGGCTTCCGGGCCATGCCATTAGCCCCAAGGCTCCCGTATACCGAATGTATGAATATATATATTCTGCCCAAGTATAGTCTCCTTCGAATTCTAGGGAAGTCTGAAGAAACTACAAAAATAATTATTAGTACTAAATCGATTACCCGAGTAATTTTTGCTCAGGTAAGTGAATACACAATCGCTCATGAAAGATTGCTCACAGATCCAAGTGCAGTTGGAACTAGATCTCATTTTAGTCAATGATGTACGGTCAGAAAGAAGGATAGTCGCTCTGATTTCGGTCACTGTCCCAGTGGTAAGACGTTCCATTGAAGGTATTTTTACCAACATCTGACCAGCACTCTCCTACACTTGCACAATTCCCAATCTTCCACTAAGTTGCAATAAATCGGACCACAATTAAAGCATTATCGTGGGTTAATAAATATCCCATGTCTATAAACATGGTAAGAAAAAAGCCATTAAGCAAAAATATAACCAAGGCTACCACGCGAGCCCGCAAAGGGGAACAGATTCCAAATCTTGGTTGAAAATCATTTGAGGTCTTCCTAAGTGACACGTCTTCCCTAATGTCACAGGGAGCCACATTAATCGGGTAAAACATTTTGCTACACACTCTTTTAAATGAACCTTCTAAGTGAGAACTGATCAGTTTAGGTCAACTTACGTAACGGAGTGGACCCATTTAAGCCCTACTAAAGAAATCAGTTCCTGTCTCCCTTACACCATGACATCCTATAAATGTCAATATCGTCACTCAAATGAAAGATATCATCCCTTACGCAATCTCTCTGTTGTAAAGGCACGAAATTAGACGTGGAAGTAAGAAACAAAGAATTCGATACAATGCACTACCATCATGCAGAAAGGTCAAGAGGCTAGTGAGATACCCCATGAGCCAGTCCCCCAGGCAAAAGTAAATCTTTCAAAGACCTAAGTTCCTGTGCATTTAAACATAGGGCTATATAACTTATCGAACCATTACACTCAAAATATCGAATGGACGATTAATTGGTTAGAGCATCGAAGGGTCTTTAAACAAACTAATTTTTATAACAAATGTAAAGATTTGCTCTGCTTTATCAAAATAGTCTGTGTTTCAATTAATATTCCATAAATAAATAGTATAAAATCGGTCTAGTGCCGTATTTGGGAAAGCAGTAAAACTAAGAGCTTGTATGGATGTTTATAAAATAAAAGCGCATGCTGGCAACATTGCTTATAATACATGTCTTATGGCACGCAAATGTCCTAATCTATTACATATATTTTGTTTGTTTGAGCCATCGTGGTAAATTTTTTAGTCATGTAATCTTCAGACACTTTTGAAAGGGCGTGGTCTGCTGTGGTCGCGTGTTCTTGCCACCCTTCGGCCTTCTGGTCTCGTCTCGGAGTGTATTAGTTAATTAACTTTAACATGGATCCAAGACGGTATAAAAATACCTGTCGATCAGGTATGCTTGATATTTAGCTTGATATACCATTCTAGTACTAAGACCGGAGTATCTCAGTTCTTCTGAGACCATGAACCGTGGGGTTAACACAAATACTGCTCCGGTTTATTCTGATGGGTATACTGTTCCAATGAGGAATCGTCATGACCGCTTTGCAACTGGTACTTAGTCGTTTCTAGTTAACACCTCCTAGGCCAGTCGTATAGTGTAATCAGAAGTCATTATGCCAATGATCCAAATTTTATGTACCACAAACAATTTAGAAATGACGAAACCCGAAGTAAACAGCCAGGTCACAATCAAACTGAGCAATTACGACGCTCCAGAGAAATGGATATGTTCAAAGACATCGGTTTTAATTTCGAAAACGAAGTTTTGAGGGCCGTCCGGTTCATGTATTCGGACAAGCGCTCAAGTAGCAACCAAAATATGCGAGTGACAAAGAAGGTTAATCTGTCCTCCACGCACTCTGTAGTGCGCGTTGCCACTCGTCTTTCCAATCGTGTGCTGTCGTTGTATGAAAGGAATCTACTTAAACGCATTTTAGTCAGTATGCATGAAAAGGTCAATGAGGCGGCATGCAGGCGATTGCTAGTGCGACTCGTCAAGGCACCAACTGTGCCCTGTACACCCAATTGTTCGTGGTGTCAGCGTATCACTACGGAAGGATGTATTTCCCGCTCCTATTCCAACCAGAATTACAATAGCGATGAGGACAACAGTTACGCTGTCACAGGTGCCAAGTGGGTCGGCTCAAACGTAAGCGGCAGCAGGCACTTTGCACTGCCTCCGGAAAACGGTCCATGCCCTGTGGGGATAACTGACAGGTCCTTTTGTCAATCCCTCTCTCTTGACGCGAGTCCCCTTTCTGAGCCGTGCGCCACCCCACCGGCAACCTTCGTCGAGCGCTATATCGACGTCCATCACGACCATCTGCCTCCAGATGATGTAATCTCCAGCAGTAGTAGTTGCAACTCCCTGTAATGGGATTTTGTAAATTTTTTAGATTTGTATTTTTTCGTACACATGCTTCAGCCTGCCTTTTGTTTTAACTATCGTGCGTCTCCTACTCCCCCTACCGTTGGCACTGATCATGTAGCTCTATGATTTGTGTATCTATGCTTATGACGCACTTGCAGTCAAACTGTATCCGATCTGCCACCCTTTACCCCCCCCCCACCCCCTTGTGTTATTTTGTACTCCCCAATCTGTTTCAATGTTCTCATGAACCACGAACTCTGAATGCTTTGGAGAAAAACGTTTGCTACCATGTATAAACTGTACCCTGTGAACGATTTCTTATTTCTTGAAATGTAGGGACCCACGCGATCACCGGAGATGCATTTGGTGCTCAGGGTTACTCCGGCGCCCAAAATCGCTTTTCATGTCGTTGATTGGTGGTTTAATGAAATTCGAATTTGGGGATCCCCAGTTGAGTGGGCATTTGTTGCGACACAGCAGCAGTCGAAACGTGGGTATTGTTGAGGCAGGGTCATCACGAAGTCTATACGGGTGTCTAGTAACCCGTAAAACGACTTTCCTGGCTTTGGCTTCTTACCCCCTCCCCCTTAGCCCGCGACGGGCCCATTCGGCACCAGTCCAAGAACTGGCAACAGCTATGTGGGCTTTCTCCACCATTGCCATCACAATTAACTTCTTTGGCAACGGCGATGTCGCTCAATCTCCAGCTCCACGTAATGCCCTTCGGGAGAGTGGTGCACTCCTTCCCAGACAAAACCTGAACTTATAAAAACAACGTTTTTGGTGCAACTCACAGTGGTGAAGGCGATGGTGGTATCACCCAGCGACGCACACAGACACGAGCGAAAATTTGTATGTGTGTGTGGGATAAGTTACCGTGGATTTATCTTCTAAAGAGGGCTGGGGAGAGGGAAAGGAGGAAAGGATTTAAAGAGCCTCAAATAGCGCTTTGGGATGCATGTACCGCTTTTTTTTCCTGGGCGGTGTTGTTGGACTTTCTCGAGGGAGTAGGCGCGTACTAAAAAATCGATACCGGGAGGGTCATCGATTTTTGAAGAAATTCAAAGCCTCCCTCTGGAGGCGCCTTTAAAGGCATCGCGGGCGGAAATCTGTCAGTAGAAAGAGTAATATGGACTAGGATGTGCATTTCCTCCACACTTACAACGTGGTCACTGACGGCACATTTACTGGGAGGTGCTACAGCTCGAAGCACCAGGAGATGTAACTAGTAGGTGCTGCTCGTTTCGCCGTTTTCTTTCCTAAAATATCATCCGCTGAAATATGCTTAGGAATCCATGTAATCAGCAGTGGTACTGCTCGTTTTTTATTAAGTCACTTATACCAGTTTAATGTGGAATCCTTGAGGGTCAACAATATTAAATTTGAACACAAAGCTTGTTTTATTGAAATGAGTAGTGGGGTTAATGCTTCGACTTCTGATTTCGATTGAAAAGGCGTTAAAAAGGCCTCAATTTCCTTCTTGATTCGATATCTATAACTCAATCGGCACTCCAAGAAGTTGAATCGAGGAATTATCCACCCCCAAAGACTTTCGGATCCACTTCATTCCTCCAACTCACTTTCAAATCACCCACAGACACCAGTAAACTCTTGGAATCAAATTAACTTAAGTTTCTGGGTAACAATGCATTTGTGGTGATAGCGGGAGAAGGTCCCAGCACATTTCAATGGCTGGCAGAACCAGGCATAGATTTGCAACAGTCATAATGCTTTTAGAGTCCGATTTCACTCTCTTAAGCATGCATTTTTGGGCGATTCAGCAGGATCTAACTGCTGTTCCTTACTCTGACCGCATATCATTTATTTTTTTTCCACTTCTTAGCATTGCTTACTGCTGCATCGCCATCGGTGCGGGAAACTCTTGCCCAGCCTGGGATCAACGAAGTCAGCGTTCTTTTCCCAGCTTCTAAAATGCTGTTACTGTTGCTACTACCTCTACCGCCATCGTCCATTGTGGTGGCGGCGGAGGTGTTGGTGGTGGTGGTAGTGATTACGTGATAAGTGCTGCGCGGGCTTTTTGGCGGCAAGCCAACAACACACCCCCACACCCTACCGAAGGCACAAGAACCAATCACTGCACCTCGTGCTACGTAGTCATCATGGAGGGCGGAGGTTACGCAAGCATGACCACAAAAACCAGCAATACACCTTGAAGTAAGCATACCCATCCCCTTGGCCTAAATTAAGGGAATATTTTTTCTTGGCGGTGACGCAAAAGGCCCTCCTCCTTCTCCGCCAATGAAAAGTGGAAACTGCAGATATTTATTGGTACCACCTTTTTTTCTTCAGGCACTTTGTGCTACAACAACTGCACCCTCCCTACTTATAGGGGGGGGGGGGCAAGTGCCTTCCCCCCACACCCCTTACCTGCTTTCGTTGTGCTGTCTACAATAAATCAAACCGAGTGTAGGTGTGTGTGCGCGTGTGTGTGGGCGGAGATGCGGGTGTGCGCTACCGGGGAGGGGGAGCGGTGAGAGATCGACATTATTGATGCTTTTATGTGCGTGCGTGGTTATGCGTGTGCATGCACGAACACTAGGGTGCAGTAGCCTTGATCACACGTACACCAGGTAACCTTGAGCGAGTAGTGTTTGGTGTACGCCCACTCACCCCTCAGCCACCCTCCCCTCACAGCCCTTGCCCCCCCCTATCATACCAAGCCTTCTCTTCCGGCGAAACACACATACTGCTGAGTGATACATGGAGTAGTCGACGGGTCAAGTCTCCGCTCTCTCTCTCCCTTCAGCTAGCCAGCAGCCACCTATGACTGCGTTCTCTTCACGTCTTTAAATACACTGATCTTTGCGAGGTTTATTTAGATTAACTTAGTAACCGTCACTTCCCTTTCCGTGGAGCCGCATAAATCCCCCATCCTCCCTCCCTCCCTGAATTGCGCTAAATAAAATCCAAGCATAAATCAGGCATAGCTGTGTCATGGCGGCGACTGAGATTAGAACGCACAGTGGTTGCGAGTCCGAACACAGTAGACAATTGGGGGTGATAAATTTTGCACCCGCCTAGTACTTCAACCAGCGTTATTTAATTGCTACTTCCGGTCACCCTAGACAAGTCAAGTCATGGTGTACACGTGTGAATATGTGTGAATGCGTATGTGTGCAGACATATTGCATATAATAGTGCCCAATTTATAATGCCGTTTCATCTATTCCAAGGGTGTGTCACACCCGGACCGCCATCGCTGATACCATCGGCATCATCACGGCGTTGTCCGAGAGCGAGATTATCGCCTTTAACTGCGTGAATAGTCGTAGACAGGCTTTCATACCTCCCAAAAGGGTGAAGCAGACTAGCCAGGACCCCTTTTTTCGTCTACGCACCCAACCACTGGCTACGTTCAATCCATTGTTCGGTTGAATAATGTTGAGAATACCAGAAAGGCTGTCACTGGAATTTAAAGCTTGCAGAATCACCAAAAAATAAAACGATGTTTGCCTTCACGAGTCGTTTAAGTTTAAGTTGTCATCCTGGTTCCGTGACGTTCAGTCCATGTCGTTGCCATGCCAACAACCTACTTACCCCCACACATCTTTTACCACCCCAGATGAGACGATGATGTATTTAAAATTCCAGGTTTTAATTAATTTGCTAAATAAACTTCAGGATCCTTGCTTGACAAGGTTATTTGTGGATATTCCTACTGACAGCGCAAAGTGACAGATGACATTTACCACAGTACGGTAAGTTTTTTTGGTGTTTTTCCATCCAACCGAGTATCTTAGCCGTCGCAATTTATTTATCCAGCAATCCAAACGAGCATGACCATCAGGTGCCTAACCTACTCACAGGTGTCAGTTAAGGTCAACCTTACCTGTGGAACGCCCGGCTTATTGATTTCTTGGCGCAGTCATACCAGGGGTGAAACGTGAGCATAATAGCTGGAAGCTAGGTCATCAACTCACACACGGAAGGGCTTTTTACATTTGAGTACAAATATGGTCACAACCGAGGCGCCTTTGGGCTGTCCAGGCTGACGGACGACGACGCCGCGGCATTTCCGACCGCGCCTGGCGGGTAGCGAGGATAGCGAAGATTTGTTAGTTGTGGCAGCTCCTACATGTGTGTACTTGTGCAGTCTTGCACGCATATAAGTATACGGCGTCTTTTTTTTCAGGGGGGAGGGGGATGGCCAGCGTAGATGCTCATTTAGCTTGACAAAATTCGTGGCATTTCTCGTTCCTTTTAATGTCATTTTCCCGATTTAAAAATAGCTTTAATATTTACTAATATGCATTAAACATGAGGTTCAAAAATTACTCATCCTTTTAAATGAAACCCAACCTTTGCCTAATAGAAAAAATCGTGGATTTATGGAGCGCCTGGGCGACTACATGTCCCCAAAGTTTGAAACGAGCGCATTCCGCCGCGAGCGAATGAGCATCGATTATCGATTATCGACTGAATGCCGGATATTCACACGTAAGCACGTCCTTGGGATCGCGGCTGACTTCACCTCGCGTGATTCAGCCACGCGGTTAGCGAGACTGCAGTCGGTGGAAAAGTGACCTTCGCAGGCGACATCAGCGAGTGAGATGATGTTGTGGTAGACGCAATTAAAACGTGTTTTCACACGCCTTCCCTCAGGAGGCAGGCCTCACCGTTCCAGCCTGGGTAGGTGGGGCGAAAGAGGGGGAAAGGGTGAGGCGAGAACAATGCGGCTCCATCGGGGAGAGCGGTGGGTGTAGGTGGTAGAGCCCGCAGCTTTACACTCACTCACATCGGGTCAGCGCATGTGCGGTTAATAATAGATGGACTGGGCCAACGACAACACCAACTACATCTACGTCATTCAGCTGTCCAGACTACCGCAGGGCGTGGAAAGATAAAGTCGAGTGTGAGTCAATGGAGCGGCTTCCAGATATCGTCTTCACATTTCATGAATTCACATTTAGGCTGATGAAGATGAAAGCTAAGGCTATTTTAATAATGGAAAAACATGGCTTATGATGTGGCGATGGCTCACAAGGAAAGGAAAAGCCTCAGCACATCAAGGCATCACGAGACTATGTGGTGAGAAATCGCTTTTCTGTGTCAATTTCAGGGCGAGTTACGCCAACTAAACAACTTCCCACACATTTTGATAATGGCGGCTACGTCGACAAAAGCCTTCGATCGGTCATGTCGGTACGATGGGATGTAAGTGCGTGGGAAGGTGAGGCGCCCATTCCCCTTTATCGATCGCGCCAGTGATCCGGCTAAATCACCCGCCCGCAGAGCATTTAACTGAGAGGATAGCATTTGCTGATCCGACAGTAAAAAATACTTGTCTACTGCTTCAACAACAACGACGACATTGGCGCTAAACTGCACTTTTTTTCCGTGAATATCTTGTACTTTCTGTGAGCAAAGCGGGTGCGCTCGTGTATGCAGGCGAGACAATGGAGCCGAGTTTTGGCACGCGATTTGTCGCATTGTTTCTATGTTTGTGCGTATGTGCGTGTGCGTGTACTTTTGGCACCTCTGCTCTTGGGTGACGGAACAGTTCAAGGGGAGGTAGAAACACACGCAAGCTTAAAACACAAAGTTATTCTTGTGTTTATCATGGCTACTTCCTTCGCCTAACCCACTAATTTTTTTCAGATGGTAATGATGGGTCGATGTTTAAGCCCATCGCCCGTTTAAACATTCAAAAAGGCTTTCACCAAAAGCGTTACAAAATCGCGTAGCTATAAGAGATAACCGATGCTACTACTTATAATGTATCAGCCACCAATTTGCAATATAACTACT